CTACCACATGACCCAAAATATAGGGTGTATTCAGGTAAACAATGTATAAGCACCACGCTTACACAATGTCGACCACCCACCCATGGTACCTTAGAGTGAGCGCTATATGAACTTATGCATGAACATGATGATAATCCAACTATACTAAGCATATAATCAAAGCAGATGATGAACATTATAATGAAGAACATAAATGAGATGAATACTGACATTGTCATAACAATTGTAGCTAGCATATAAAAGTAATAGAGATATAAAAGAGAGGGGGTACAAAGATTGTACCAAACCACACTCTTGACATGATCAGCAATCCAAGCGAAGCTTGCTTGCCTTCCTCTAGACCTAGCCTAACTAGCTATGCCCTAGAATATGGTGGAGCTCTAAGGATGATTAGGGTTTATGTCTTCTCAGATGACTTGATGCCTTAGGGGGTGACAGGGGCTGGTATATATAGGTCGGAGCATCCAATGTGAGCCATTGGATCAAACCGACTTAAAGGACGACGTAGATGCAACCTAGGAGGAGGTGGAGAACTGACATTGTGACGAGGCTTGACAGGTGGGACCCTAGGGGGCTGGGCGGCCTCTAGGTCGGGCGGGCCGGCCCACCTGGCGGTGTCTCGGCTCTCGCTTCGGTGTGGAGTCCTCTCGAGTCTTCTAGAGCCTTCTAGTGTCCGTTTCGCGACGGATAAGCACAATTAATTCTGACATCTAGGTCAACCTTGATGGTTTTCTAGATAAACCTTGCATAAATCATAGATTCACCAAAACTTATGGAATTTATTAGTTTAGATCCCTAGACCTTGGTTGGTGATCATATTTATTCCCTTGTACATGTTTTATTGACGGTTTATAAGGGTTGTTAACTACCATCAATAGTCGGCCAGGGCAGCCTGATCGAGAGGTCGAGACGTGGGTCACCGACTCGTCGTGGCGCCGTGAGCGGTTGTAAGTCGCTCAGGAAAGGGTCACTGGGATGGTGACATGCAATGCTATGTCATAGATCATGCATGTGCGCCCTCTTCTGCAGACTCCACAAGCGAATCGTGTCCGGTAGCTTAACGCGAGCCAGATCGGGTCACTTCGGAATCTAACCGGCTCTAGGGTGAGGCGTGGGGGCATGCCATTCATCTTGCCCCACGGGTTTCCCGTGATATTTTGGAGTTAAGGGTAAGCCTGCACGCGTATGTGGACATGTTTATGTAGAGTGGCCAGGGTCAGAGATAGCATTACTGATCGATGTGTCGAAAGCCGTTGCGGATCTGGTTGTCGTAACTCGGGGCGTGTTGAGCCCCCGTGCATCTGTTCGTGGCAGAGTTGCTGCTTGAAGCGTTGCGAGCCCCCGAGCGCTCGCTTGCGCTGGAGCTGTTGTGGTCCCTGGGCCATAAGCCGATGAGGTCGCTTCTTCACCACTCTAAGCAGTCGTAGCTGGCGAGCATCGACCTCTTGGGTGCCCTGCCTGCCCTTATATAGAGTTCGGGGTCAGGGTTTGTACAAAGAGGAGGTTCTCCCGACCGAAGGGTCGAGAGCCTGAGGGAGGGCCTAGCTAACTTGGCTTGCAAAGTACGCCGTCTTCTGGTGCACGTCTGATCATGGCTATCGTCATGGTCTTCTGGCCATGTTACGGCATGGTGTGACACGGCGCTACCGTGCCGGCCGTGGTAGCACTGTAGCCTCGATGGCGGTTTGTTAGCTGTCCTGTGCAATGCGGTTTCTATCGTGGCCTTCGTCATCGACTCCTGGTTCCCAGGGGCGTCGTACCCAAAGTAGGTAGCTGTCCTAGGTCGTCGATCGCTTGGTCGCTTTGCGGGGCTTAGGGCCACAACCCTGATTGTCGGGGTCAGGGCACTCTGCCGGTATGGATGGCCTTTTCGTCGAGTCTCTTGTCGTGGATCCCCATCCCGTAGTGGGTGTGATCGTACACGCATCTAGTCGGTCCGTATTTGGACGGTGGGTGTGTCGTCAGTGCGGCATGGCACAGGGATGGTGTCTGACCGGGCCAAGATGACTGCTATCCCCTCGGTCCTTATGGGATGAGTGCGGCATGCTTGCTCTTGTCAGAGCAAGCGCGCCTTAGCCGCGTTCGACCTCCCTCCATCCCTTCCGGTGGTCATGATGGGGAGAGGTCGTGTATTAAGGCGGGTGGAAGAGGTCGGGGATGACCCCGGCCTTGGTGGCTGGCCCGCTCCACTCGGCTTTTGCTGAGCCTCGGTCGTTCTGGTCTTTGTTATCCATCGTGTTACGGGCCGCGAGGCCTGCTGACTAATCAATGTCTTGAGACACCCGGGGTTATGACCCCCGATAGACATGTACAAATCAAACCGTCATCCATGTATTCACGAATTCGAGGAAGAATACAATTTAGAAACCAAATCATCGTGGCAAAAAAAAATCAAAAGCAAAAGGTTCGAACTTCAAACAAGAAAAAAGAATCCGGTAGCGGGCAGCCCATTGGATTCGCCGACTTCGATGCAAATAGCAAACCCATCGGCATGACAGATACAAAGTGCTTCCCACGCCGCTCCTGCTTGCAGCTTGCACGAGCTCGTTCATTCGCTCGCACAATCAATCACATGTCTGCTCGAGCTCGACCAACGTCGCACAACATGCGCCAATCACGAGCTCACTGCCCAGCCCTTCAACAGATGCCCTGCGCCGACGCACGACAAGGCATCCTCAAGCTATCTCCCCCGCGCTAACGCTTGACAGGGCCTCCTCCGACTATCTCCTAGGTCGATGTCGGAGCAGGAGCAGGAAGCAGGGAGCTGTGCGGGTTTGAGAGATGAGCTATGAGAAGAGAAAACATGCATGAGAGATAGATGATTGGAGAACTGGAGAGAGAGGACAAATGTGGATGCCAGGATATAGGAATATGTGGAGTATGTATTATTTTCCAAGTTTTCACCTGCTTGGCTGCTTTGAAGGAGGTAGCAAAATTTCTTCCCAGCTACAAATTCTTTGCCATGAGTTTGGTTCACATGCTACTGTTTAGGAAGATTACTATATAGCTACATTAAAAATGTTCTATGCGGATTTAGTTTGTTTCCACTTGGGTCGAAGTTCTACACATATGGACCAATGCAAAATATATTATATATAAAGCTAACGCATGCAATTAACTAATTGGTTCCCGGTCACTTGAAGTAGCATGATAAACCTTTTATATTATTAAATAAATAAACCTTTAAGTGTATGATATGTATACGTTCCGTTGCAACGGACGAACATGTTTCCTATTTTTTTTATGAAAAAGATAAGTTTTAGGTCATGTTTAATTGTTTTAGAGCAACTCTAAGGGGACTCTCATCTATTTTCTTCCTAATTGTTAGGAATAAAGATTTTGATAAAAAAATGCCCTCAGCTTCTTTAACAGAATATCTAAATATATATATCCTCTATTCTAGATTTCTTGCTAGCTAAATGTGGCGAGGATACCTACTTAGAGTATACACAAGATATAGAAAATGTGTTGGAGGATGTAAAAATATAGAAAGCGTTTTTATTTAAACAAGTCTTTAAATAATGATTTAGAAAGTAAATTTTAGAAAGGCTATTGTAGATGCTCTTATCGGGTTTGAATGTGTTAGTGTTTTTTTTTCGTTGCAACGCACGATCATATTTGCTAGTAAAACAAATCTAACAAAATCCCATAATCATATGGTTGTCAGTCTATCCATCCAACCAGCCTTTGCGATCCTAAGGCCATGTTTAGTTTACCTAAAATCCAAACTTTGGCACTATGTAAAAAGAAGATTCCCCGTCACATCAAACTTGCGGTACATGCATGGAGTATTAAATGTTGACGAAATCAAAAACTAATTGCACAGTTTGGTTGTACTTTGCGAGACGAACATTTTGAGCGTAATTAGTCAACGATTGGACAATTATTACCAAATACAAACGAAATGCTACAGTGTACTACGGTAGTCTACAGTATTTTCGGCGGCGCCTATTCCTGGCAACTAACATGGCCTAAAACACAGCAGCAACAGGCCACAGGTGCACAGCACGTGAAGTAGCCAGCTTTCCGACATGGATCCATGGCGAAGTGGAGCAACAGTGAGCAGCCTCCCAGTGCGTTTCGTCGTCACACCCAACCCGGAATCCAAAATGCTCCGAAATGTTCCTGTTCCAAATAGTGCCCGGACGCAAGAGGACACGCCGTCGCCACGCTGACCTCATAATTGACGCTCTGGGCACATGGCCTGCCTGCAACGCATGCACCTACCTGGTCTGCAGTACAATGCATAACAACAATGCAGGGAGCAGTTAACCATCCTCTTAAAATTAAGCAGAGGCTTAACAGAAAGTTCAACCAGCACATACCAAGCCCCACTCAACAACTCTTTTGGATTGCAAGACCAAACAAAAGTGGTGGCACCCTAACTGAAAAAAAGTCAACACTCAGTGACAGCCCCATGCCTCATCATCAAGGTTGAACTGTTGAAGAGGTTTGCTGAAAAAACTTTGCACATCTACAATTGTGCTGAGCAATGTCTGTTTACCGGAGTTAACATTCCGGTTTCCTTTGCACAGAGCTCAAAGCAGAGGTGACACAGTGGGAGTAGATTAGGCCTGAAGGGTTCTGAAAGAGTTCCAAAAATGACAATTTTTCAAATATAAGCCAAGCATGTCCTACCAGCAGAAGTTCCAGATCCATTCACGCGTTGCCTGTAGCGAATTTAAAGAATAATAGGCAGGGTAATTAAGCCCCAGAACAGAGTGTTAATCTACTTGTTACCAGCAAGCTAATTACTAGTCATTACCAAAGGCAAATACGCACAGCATCGCATCCCTCCCTTCTGTCCGGCATTCCGGCAGCCTGATGAGGGACAGCTATGCAATGCAATCAGTGATCGCCATCCATCTGCTCCCACCAAACCACTGAGAATTTCTCCCCTCATATCAAAGGCTCAAAGCGATGCTCAACTTTGTAACCACTTCGTTCGTCCTCAGTCCAGCTTCCCACTGCAACTGCAACCACTTCACCACCTCCCAGCAATGGAGCTAGCAGGGTTCATCATATCCTCAATAATCTCCCTTGCTGGATTCTTGTCAGTGGTTTCGGCATCGACATCACAGCAGCAATGCGGCGGCAATGGAGCACCTGCTGGAGTGAGAGCTGGCTACTGGTCGCCGTCCTCAAGCCGCTACTCCCCGGTCAGTAGCATCGACGCCTCCTTGTACACTCACCTCTACTACAGCTCAGTGTCCATCGACGAGACAAGCTATGCTGTCGCGCCTCAGCCGACCGAAGAGGAGGGCTCGCTGCTCGCTGCGTTCTCTGGTACCGTCAAGTCCGGGAGCCCCTCTACCAAGACCATGCTGTCCATCGGCACAAATGAGTACAGGGTGGATGCGTCGAATGCCGCCTTCTCCAAAATGGCTTCAGACAAGAACCTCCGGGGAGTGTTCATCAACTCCTCCGTGGAACTGGCTCGAGCCAACGGCTTCGACGGCCTGGATTTGTCGTGGATTTTCCCAGTCACACAGATGGACATGGAGAACCTTGGAGTCCTTCTTGCGGAGTGGCGAGCAAGGATCATGGAGGAATCCGCGACCAACTCCTTGTCTGGTCCTCTTCTCCTGACAGCAACACTCTACTTCTCCAACCACCTGTTTGACATGCCTGACGGCAACCTCGACTACCCCATAGATGACATCTCAGACAACCTCGACTGGGCGAATATCCTCACCTTCGGCTTCCACGGGGACAGCAGCGTCACCACAGCTGATGCACCTCTCTACGACAAGTCGTCGCACTTCTCAGTGAGCTACGGGGTCATCTCATGGCTGGATGCAGGAGTTCCTCCATGTAAGCTGGTGATGGGGATACCTCTGTTTGGAAGATCATGGTTCCTCAGGAACAAGGCCAAGAATGGGCTAGGATCGCCGACTGCCGCTGCCGGAACAAAGCAGAGGAAAAGCAACCAGACTGGGATAATTGCATATGCAGAGGCTGAAGAGTACCTGAACTCTGAAAGCACCGTTGTCACCTATGACAACCAATCAGTGGCAGAGTATTTGTACAACGGTGACCTCTGGGTCAGTTTCGACGGCGCACAGGTAGTGCAGCAGAAGCTAGAGTTTGCGGTGAGATCTCAGTTGCTTGGCTACTTCCTCTGGACCGTCGGCTTTGACGACTCAAACAGCACAATATCCAAGAAAGGTCAGTAACTACTCGATTATGATGACATATGTAAATTGATTTAATCTGCTAAATACTCATCTTGATATAGCATATGTTTGATATAGCATATGTTTGATATAACATATGTAAATTAATGGAAAAGTGCAAACATTGTCTGGTGCAGCATCGGAATCATGGCAACAATATGCTCAAGGTGGTTTTGGAATCATGCACGCAGGAGGTTCAAACCAATATGTTGCATTTAATTCATCTTCAGTATCACTTGGTAGCTGGCATTCAAAATCTCTCAGCTGTTTGCTGTCTTCAGTACTTCTGTTGGTGATTCTGTTTCAAGAATAATATCAGTAAACAGGCCAGAAATGTAAAAATAGTTTCAGATGATATATTCATCAAAGTGAATGTCTAATATATGCTCTGTTGTATTTATTGAGTTCTCTCACAGTGGTTCTTTGCCAAAAAAAAAGTGTCACATCATGTTCAGTGATTAATAGCCACATTGTGTATGAATGGATTGTTTCTTTTTCCTAAGAGGATCTCCAACAGACACTCTATATTTTCATTTAGATATCCACTCCGTAAAGATTCCCTCACCACGATTCCACGCACTCCCACAGATTAGCCATAACGCTCTCCATACTCTATTGATCTATATTTTATTAGTATTCAAATTAACATCAATTGATATATTTCTTCTTGAATTTTGAGAATTAAATCGATACTCTTAAGTTCAAGTAGTTTACAAAAACAGTCAGCTTTGAAAAAAGTAATTTAAAATCTACAATACCCTGTTTGGATGATGATATTAGAGGTTAGAATTGGAAATTGGAATCAGATTTCCTAAATGCCTCTGTTTGATTGTACGTGGAATTTAGATTTTGAATTAGAGAGTCGAGACCCATTTCCTTGGTATTGGACTCTAACTAGAAGCGGCATCTCCCAATATAGAGCCTGGCCCCTCGGTATTGAAAGAAATTAGACCTTAATACTTCTCTCAAGCTACTTGTTGCAGTAATTGATATAATTGACAAATATAGAAAGGATTGTCTTTGGAGAGGCAAAGACTTTAATAGAAAAGGCTATAACCATGCAGCATGGAACATAGTAATGAGACCCAAAGATAAGGGAGGATTGGGAGTGGTCAACTTGACTTTGCAGAATGAAGCCCTCCTTCTTAAGCAACTAGACAAATTCTACAACAAGAAGGATGTCCAATGGGTGCACTTGATTTGGGAGAAGTATTATCCCAGTGGGGTTCCACACTTAAGGAGAGAAAAGGGCTCATTTTGGTGGAAGGATATCATGAGATTACATCTGAAATATAGAGGTGTGGCTATTTGCTCACCTAATAAGGGTGATACTGTGAGTCTTTGGGATGATGTCATTCTTGGCAGCTTGATGTCACTGAAATATCCCACCTTGCATAGCTTTGCTAAAGACCCCTGCCTCTCTATGAATGCAGCTATTCACTGTGATGATATTGTTGATCTTTTCAGAATCCCAATGACCAGGCAAGCCTTCAATGAACTGCAACTGCTAAGCTCAGAGTTTTCAGTCTTCTCAGTCAACTCCAATGAAAACGACAGTTCGTCTTTCATCTGGAGTAGCAGCACTTATTCAGTTAAAAAATTCTACAGACAGTAGTTCCTGAGCCTCCAACATCCTAAGCCTCTAAGATGGATTTGGCAGTCCAAGTGCATGCCCAAAATCAAGTTTTTTGCGCGGCTGCTTCTGAATAACACCAGAAATATTCTTAGAAGTCGTAATAAACATCTAGAAGAAGGGTACAACTGTGTTCTTTGCCATGAGAACGTCGAGGAAACAGCCTATCATCTTTTCTTTGATTGTTCAGCAGCAACAACGAGATGGCTCTCTATTGGCATCACTTGGGATGATTCTATGGACATATGTCAGAAAATAGTAAACAAGATAGTAGAGACTGGTTTTCCTTTCTTCATGTAAGTATTTATGGTGGCAACGTGGTGCATCTGGAAAGAAAGAAACAGCCTTATTTTTTATGGAAAGGTTCCTAGCGTTAGTCTCTAGAAGGCTAACTTCAGAAAAGAAGTTCTGCTTCATCTAGTCAGATTTCAGCAACATCTTCACTCGAGTATCATCTCCTGGCTAGACTCCATTTAGGCTTAGTTTTTTCGTTTTCTTTGTTAGCTTTTGTTTAGGCTTGTTTTCCTCTTTCTCTCTTGTTTTCTTCTTCTTTCTTTGCGTTGAGTGGTGGGGTCTTTTTCCTTTCTTTCTCTGAGCTATCCTCCTGATAGCTCGCCCCCTGTAAGCTGGTTCTTGTCTTAAGTAAGTTGGTAGTTCCGGGGGGCTTTGCCCCACGGGTTGTGTTATAAAAAACTCACCTCCTGTCAACCACCTAGGCACGCAATCCTCGTTGCCAGACACCTCCACTGGAGGACCCCACTGCTGTCATGACACAAATCACTCGCTAACGCCTCCGACCAATCCCGCCCCTAATGGATCCACACCCTACCACCCACGAACCTATCGGTGCCACCAGGGCTAGGGGAGAGTGAGGAGGCCGGCGCAATGGATGATGGCGTGTTCCAAGAGGAGTGGCCATCAGCGTAGCTCTTGATGCCAATGTACTCAGAGGGGTGGACTCCATCAAGGACGAGCGCTTGGCGCAGGTGTCCTTCGGCGTGTGCAACTAAGGAGCCAGGAATCCCCTCTGCCGACGGCCTGCAGCAAGGGATCCAGGATCCTCTTCTTCCTCAAGTCTGGCCCTATCCTCTCCAGTTTCTTTCTCAACGCAGGCTACTTCCTTAGCACTCCTCCATCGCCATTGAATCTTTGAGTGTACCCGCCTTTTGACGAGGACATCATTACTTTGGATGCAAATGTCGTTCCTCTATCAACTATGCAAGGACCAATTACTACAGCTCAAGTGTGACAATTAAATCTATCAGCGAGCTTGTTGCTAAATGATACTTTTCACGATTATGAGAATCGATTACTACCTACCAATGTTTTTGTTCTTACAAATATTGGAGAGGGTCGTGAAGGACATGGTGAGGTGTTGGAGCTTGGAGGTGGAGAGGACCAGCATGGGAGTCTAAGTCATGATGGAGGCACAATCCAACTCGAGTTAGAGTTCACCTCGACGCATATAGAATCCAATTTCGACATTCTACATATCCACGGAAAGTTAAAGGAGATAAATTTTATAGTGCAACCAGAATTAAGTCAAAACTCCTTCTGAGTCAAAGGGAATCATCAAAACAATTGGGTGTAATCTATCATGGTGCTACGTTAGTGGCCCACTGTATTGAGCCGTTTCCCTGTGTATCATGCGGGAGCCTGTTAGGGGTGCGTTTAAGGGTTATATCATTCCCTAAGACCTTATAATTCGTGGCCGCCACTTTCTTCAGAGTTTGGGTTTTGTTGAGTTCTAATTTTGACCGTGAAACAGACATTCTTTATGGCACTTGTAATGCCGAGTTCCACTGTTGTGAATCAGGGCCCCGTTCTTGTTCTTTTTCGACGGTATCGGTTAGTCCTTTCGATTCAAGAACTTAAACCATTCAGTTTGAAATACTTCATCCCTGATTGCAATATTAGATTATGTCCTTTTACGTTTTTGTTTGTGTTCTTGATTAGCTTGTCAAAAAAGCCTTCTTGGCAGTTGGCATGGTCAATTGTGTTGTGCATGATTGATAACCAAGAGAACAGTGGTGCAGCGGCTATAGGGATTCGAACCATACTTGATTAGAATCCCATAACATGAATCTTGAGTTCTCCATCAATCGACTCATCATACCTCTCAGAAGATTGGCCCAACACCTCCGTCAAGTGGTATCAAAATTTAGGTTGCCCGTTTTGTATATCTTTGTTTTTTTCCTTTAGATTGGTTATATGTTTTCCTTTACCTAGTCTACAAAAAATCTAGGAAAAACACCCACATATTCTTGTACTATAGCCCTCTTGTTTCCTTGCAATTTTGTTTCCGATTTGCTTTGTTGGGTTTGTGTCTGTGATCGTTTCTAGTTGTTGGTTTAGTTCTTTTTTATCATATACTTCAATCGCCCGTGTTGTTTTGGTTCACGTCGTTGTCTCATATCCACCCTCTCCAACAGCAAGTCAAGCCACCACCACTCACTTGACTTGCCCCCACAAGCCGCCTTGTGTGAATTCTTGCTCCGCAAGCCCTAGTTAGGTTGCAAGCCGCCTTGTGTTTTTCGCCTGTGCATCGTAGCCCTCCTTGTTCATCTAGTGAAACCTAATTTGCAAACTTTCATATACATGTGAAGCTTTGCCCTAGGTTTGTTTCTCTTGTTGAAAAGTTTTGCTCAATTGTGATCTATGTTGGGTAATTTGGGTAATAGGGAAGCTTTGCCTGACCCCAAGATTGAAGCGAGGTATGTGCCGGAAAAACCTTGTTTGACCACTGTTCACTAAAACGAACATAAGTTTTGCATATGAAGTCGAAATCAAACATTCTTTTCTCCTGAAAAGATAAAGTTCAAGGCTGCTATGAAAAAGCCCTATTGGGTATTTTGACCCCTAAAATCAATTGTTTAGGCTCTCAAAATGGCCCTGAAAGTTGGAATCTCGGTTTCTAGTTTTTCTTGTTTTTGCCTCTTAATTTTTTTCTTGCTTTTTTCTCTATTCTTTGTTTTTTATCATTTGTGAGTGATTTGTATGAAAGCATCTAGGCCCCTAGTTGGGTTTCGGTGATTAATGACGACACGAGACTACTATGACTAACGTGTATTTTGCAGAGGCAATTTGAGTAAGGTCATGGTAATAGAAATTGATTGGGCAATTATGGTTATCGTGCCCCTGTTGATGGAAATCGTTTCACTTTTCAAAGGATGGACGACAAGGTTAAGGACGGACTAGTTCTAACTATCATTTGGTATTGGAGAGACACTTAGAGTAGTTTAGGACTTTGATTTTCCTTTGGCCGTACTATTAAGGGGGGTATGGACTCGTAGCTTGACCTAGGTGAGTCTAGTGGGTTAGGTGTGGTGCACACTTGTCAAACCTAGCACTAGGTAGCTCAGGAATGGCCCTAAGATCAATTGGAGTCAACTTCATTCACATAGGATTTCGAGTTGGAAGTGAATGGAGGGTCCAATGACTGACCGAACGCTAGTCTGATTGTGACCGGACGCTGGAAGGTGAGTCCGGTCAGTTCATTTGATCAACTGCAGTCGTCTGGTGCTGACTGGACGCTGGTCTAATTGTGACCAGGCGTTGGAAGGTGAGTCCGGTCAGTTCATTTGATCCACTGCAGTCGTCTGGTACTGACCGAATGCTGAGTGGAGGAGCACCGGATGATGGGGTGCCTGCGTTCGGTCAACATCAGTAAGGTTCCAGAG